GTTTAGTTCAAAGCGGTAGGCTTTATCCATGACAGTACTACAGTTTTATCGCCATGTCTAACCGCGATATCATTTTAGCAAAGGGTCATCATTCAAAGCTTTCCGCACATGAAAAGGCTGCCATTCGGGCTGGAATTTCAGCTGAACTCTTTTCGCATGCACACTGCTGCAATTCTAAGAACTAATTTCAACCCAAAATAACTTTAAACACAACATAAGCTTGTTCCTTTCCAGGAAGTGGTACTCGCTTATTAACCACAGAAAAAAACGAATAATATAACCGGGTCTTGAATGCGGAGTAAAACCTTGAAGCAAGAATCAGTTTTAAGATGCCAGATGTGCGATTCTCATCGTTAAATTGAACCACCCTAGTGATGTTCCTGGTCATTCGCTTGGCCGTAAGTTATCACACATGCAAGATTCACTTTATGAAAATTTGTTTCTTTATTATGGAAGGAAGCAGACCAATGAATTGCGATATAGAAGTTTGCTGCAATAAAACCTTTATAGTGATACATTTGTAAATTTTTGTACTGTCCAACGCACTCACCCTCAACGAAACTTTAAACTTCACATTTCACATGCGATAGTCAGAGTTACACTAAGTTCAGCTGCAAACGAAAATGTATAAATAGATTTAAGTGTATCGCGGCAAAAATTTGGTATACTAATATGTCAGAATTAACTATCTTGTAGCAACCAGTATATTAAATCATTTTCACCTTTTCGAGCCGCGTTTCATTTCAGTATTGTACCTAAGAGACGTTCCCAGTTGACTAAAGTTTGTTAAATAGTGGATAATAAGAGTTTCATAAAAACTGCAGCTCGGACGGAGGTACCGCAAAGCCGGCTTGATTAATGGCCCATTGCCAATATGACGTCTAGGTCAAGCGCGACTTTAGTAAAAGGCCTCAAACAGCCACTGGGAAAGGTTACCGCTTTGGAAAGAACATTCAATAAGTTTAACTCGAAACCGCTATCAATGGATTACCCTTCTGGACGGTAATAAATATTTTATACGTAGTCCGTATTAATACTACCATTACTGATATTTCCACGGAAGTTAGAAAACGTAAAATCAACAGTGCCACCTAAACTTACGGAAATTTTTTATAACGGCCATAAATTACAATAAGTAAGGAAATTTGTATATTTAGTAAATAGATTACTAAGAAAATGGGCAAACAGAAGCAGTACCTTAACAAGGACAACTGGATCCAACGGTGTGTGCTGCATTTCGTCCGGGTCCACCTCTTGACGATGCTTCGGATTGGTCACTGCAGCCCGAGCGTGCTTCTGCCGCTCAAGTTCCGCCTTTACGGCGAGTTTCTTCTGTTTGCGGAACTGTTTGCGAAGCTCCCGAGAATCCGCATCGCCTGAAATAACAGTTTCAATCAAGCAAGCACGCAGAGGTCAGAAACGCCAAATAACACACTAACTTTGTGCGTTTCCATCGGCAGCTGAGGAATCGTCGTACGGGACGTCGTGAAGTCGGAGGTAAATCTGAAATTAAACAGGCTTGTGTAAAATGAGAACGTGCGAACGGAAACTGTTCAAAGATAAGATCAAAGCGTCAGTAGAACATGAAAATTTATCAAGGGCCATCAATCATCACAAAGAAACTAATCAGCGCGTGAACGAAAGACTCCTGCTGAGCAGCCTATTGTTAGTGAGAACATATTTAAACATTTTCATTTTTAAGCAAAATATACATAGTTACAAAAATTATTAAAATTCCCATCCATGTGGCGAAGATCAGACAATAACTAACGCATGGTATCAAATGCTATGACAAAGTATGCTGGAAGTATACTCATCGATCTTGAAAATGTTATGAACAACAAAACATTACGATTCAGCGGGGAGTGGTACCAGGATTTGAAAAAACCTTAGGCCAGAGGCAGATCTGTTCGGGAGCGTCACACACTGACCGGAACGGCGTATGCAAAAACGGAGATCATAGCTCACATCAATCTCCAGATAATGCATGCTGAATCGTACAGAAGAGTGCCTGACGAATGAACATCAAAAACAGAGAAAAATCACGTTTCACGTTAACAGTGAAAAAGACAAGCACCAGTAGTACTTATTTCGGTAGAAGCCGAATGTCAAGATGCGCAAGTATGCCACAGAGTCAAAATGATCAGTTGGCCATGACAGGGGCTGGAGTTTATGGAGGGCAACTAAGACAAATGTTCAAACCTCCATACGTCCCAAGTACGCTCAGACTCCCTCCCCCCACCCATGAAACGATGACGCCAACGTCGTTAATCTGGTGATTCGCAATGACTTTATCCTACGCGTATTGAGCTTAGAGAATTTCTAGACTTTAATCGATTAACTGATCTGACCAAATAACACCACAGAGTCATACTTTATCAAATGTAGTCGGAAAAGTGGTAAAAACCTGCGCTATCTCTATTCAAGAAAAAATGTATCGCAATTAAAAGCTTGTTTAATTTACGCTTTTTAAATTTGTTTACAAGTGATATGCAGAACTAGCGCGTTGCGCATTTAAATAATTTTATTTTGTTTAAGCCGTGTCATCCATAAGATAAAGTAACAAATAAGAAAAAATTACCATATGCGTATACCATTCTATCACATCTAATACGACAAACATATCATTACTCAAACTTATCATTATTGTATACTGCAGGATCATTGTTCCGAAGCATGACGAACATAAAATTTCATTCTGCCCAAAAATTAATACACAACTGAAACGTTCAAACAATCCGTTAAATTAAGAAATCCTCTAGATAGAAGGTCGTTCGATACGATGGTCATGGTAAAAAGAAAAATTAATCGACAAAGTACTTTATTCAAGCCTACATGTCATCCTCAGATTCGCATGTTCGCTGCACAGAGCGAGGATGTTCTTTTTCGATATATTTTACTGCCACAACCATCGCAGTGTTAAACTTGCTGTCTGGAAACATTTTGCTTTAAATACTGATGCAGAATCACAGTAGATTTCAGAAGGTACAACACTGCAACTCTTAGATAAAGAGACGGCTAAAAGAGCGGTAAAGGTATATTTAACAGGTTAAGCAGTCAGAAACCACGACGGTGTTCGTTCACACATGCTGAAGAAGGAACATCATTGTATGTTCCGAAAGCTTCATTTATTAATTATATTTTTCCAAGGCTTCTAAATGTCTCTTGCTTTATCTATTATTATACGAGCCGTTTGTCTTTTCGAAATGTTTTGAAATTCCTCTTCAAGCTGTATTTGTACAACAATTAAACTGGCAGATAGTTCTCAATACATGGTCAGAACAACTAATATATCAGTCACGAGTGATTAGCATATGACCATCCTTCTGAAGGAGGAAAACATCGTCAATGTTACTGGACAGTGTGAATTTAAATGTTCGTCATTTATTAATCATGGTTGTGCAGCAACTGTGATGCAAGTGGATTGGAGGCGTACGAAACCCTAGGTCTCTGTACAGCAAATAAAGCCATAAATCTGGGCCAAAAAATTTAAGGTACCACAATTCATTTAAAATTTTGACGATCATTTACACAGCAGAAGTATCGTAGATTCGAAAACTATAAACATGCAATGACTAATTTCAGCCAGTGAAAACAAACTAAAAGTCTCACTTTAATAGCGCATTTGGCAGCTTTGTAGTAGAACGTGTGCCGACGTAAAATGTCTTCTAGCCGTAGTAACTTCATGTAGGCCCGAAGTGTCATGCGGCGTACGCAGTACGTGTGAAAATCGAACTGATCTTCGACGATGTCTGTGAAATGCTGAAAAACGAAATAAACAATAATTTGCAAAATCAAGAAAAATAGAAACAAGAAATAATTTTCTTAAACTCTAACACTAAAGTTACGAGAACGAAATAACAAAAGACTGAACAAACAACTAGACATTAGCTTACAGAAAAAGACCAAACTGGAAAACGCCAATTATGCTTGCTTTTAGTACAATCCTGATGGAAAAGAAAAAATTCTGATCGACCCTGACCATGATGAAACAAACACGTA